TTACTTGATTTGGTATAAAATGTGAGATACGGGATTACTTCGCTGGTGATTATTAGATTTGCGATGTATAAAAATTTGCAAAATTGTTAAAAATATATTTTTGGAACAAGAAAGAGAAACTTCTTTGTTTTTATACATTTAATCCGGAAATTATGTTACAAATTTTCACAAAGCATCTCTAACTTATATCGCATTGCCATTTCAATAGTTGTAACTCAAAATTTGTCAAATTCAAGATTAGACCATTTCAAAACACAAAATGTGATCCTCTACACGTCAATAAAACCGTCCTTAGAATATTTTAAGAAACAATAAAAAAAATATCTAATTAACTCAAAGTGAGACAAACCTTTTGTGAGCTAGCTCGGAACAAATCAGTTTAAACTCAATAATCTATTTGTAAATATTAATCATATTGTCTAAATTATCGCATTGGGTAATCAGCTGTATAGATAGTTTAAGTGTGGCTTAAATAAATAAATATAAAGTTCTATTTCCCCTTTTATTTTTAAACATATAGCAAGTAAGAAATTTTTTAGATGTTCTATTCATAAATTTTAATAATTTTTCATTGGAAGGACTAATTCATTGTCCATCGATTCTGAAAAATACACTTTTTTAGTTAATACAATGTCGTTAATACAGTGCGATATACTTACGGTTTGCACCTATGTTATCTCGGTAATATAAGAAATTATTTGTTAAAGACTTCAACTTAAACTTGTACATAGTCATATGGTGTGTTTAAAGAATGCTGTCGTTATGTAGAGTTTGGCCTCTTTGGTTTGAGTTTGTATGGATTCCGTCCACTAAAACATCGTGGTTTGATAAATACAGATTTTTACTGCTGGAATACTAAAACAACACAAAAATGCAAACACTCTAAGTTTATGTTCCTCATATTTTTAAACAATTTGCAATTTGCATATTTCTTAATAAAAATCTTTCTATAGTTTATCGGTTTTCCTTTTATTCTAGTGGTTTTCAATTATGTAAGCTTCAATGTTTCGTGCGATGTGAAAGAGTTGGTCCAGGGAAGTACTGCCACCTTACCTATTTCTGTCTTCAAGCAGTGAGCTTTGCTCCGTTTAGATTTTAAAGGGTGGGGGTGCTGGTGGCAAAATCACAGGCTCATGGTGACGGGTGCAGTGACAATGCCCCACAGTTCTTTGCGATTTAAGACTCTGTTGCACTGTAGCTGTCAAGGATAGGCGTGTTGTTTACTATCAGGCGCACAACTTGTTCGTCACTTGATATTAAAAAAAAAACGCTGCATTTGACGTTTGACACTAAACAAGGAGACAAAATGTCCCCATATGTATTGTCAGACCCCACAAATTAGGGCGAACACCCTTCGACAATTACGCTAGTGTACGCAACTCGCCTAATGGTGCGGATTACTTTACGTGTTAAGTGAAACGCGACATTGCAGCAGGTCCCCTAATCGATAGGGTTGCCGTGAAATCTGAACCGAATTAGCGTGATCAAACCAATATAGATTATATCAAATGAATAACGATCGGCGTAACACACGCCTTTCGAGGGGATTCTATTGAAGTATCGAATAACATAACTAACAAGAACGATCTTAATTAATTAAATGTAATAAAATGAGCCATATTACGTTTAAATTGAGTAAAGTAAATATTCATCGTAAAGATAAAAACGTACATACGATCGTGTTAATACTTATAAATTGATACATATAATGGTAAAAAGTCTACGTGTCTTATAATGTAGCTCGTTCCTAGAAATGTAAAGTAAAAGTGCCAGCCCTATATAAAAAGTGCTAGAATTTGGTCGAATCCCGAGGCGACTTAATCACTCTCCGCATTGAGGGATTACAGGCATTTACTGGTGGATTACCGCTCGTTGCCGATAATAGCCGATTGGAAGAGGGACCCTGCAATCGGCTAACAAATATAGGTGCCGCAGTGGATCAACCCTAATCGCCTATTGCCGATTTAGCAAATGGTGTTCTATTTATTACGTAGTTTATTGGCTGTATACTAAGTATTTATGTATTCCTTCGATGAATATTAATGTCGAAATCTCTCTGTATTGTTTATACCCAAAATTGTAAAGTCCATTTCAATAATAAACCTTTTATCCAGGCCCCTGCTAATAGCACCATTTCTATTGAAGCACGAACCATTTCCTTCCGCCGCAATGTCTTCATGTTTCAAAGTGAAATTGCAAAATGCCAAAAAGTGGATGGGGCAACACAATAGATACGCGTCTCTTCGACAGCCTTCGGAAGTGCGATCAATATACTTCTGTGTAATGCTATTCGAATCAAGAATAGACAGTCATCATTTTTTATTACTTTAGGGGCTTATTGTACTCTATAAGTAAACCACAGAATACTTTTCTTAGTGTTATGCTAACTAAAAGAGTTTGTTCAACTATGGTCCTGGATAAGCTTGTGCACAGACTTCTAATGCTTTCTACTCACGTTTCACAGAAGAAAATTGATAGTAATAGATAGTATATAGTAGCAGTAGAGCTGCTTGTGAAAGAGTTCGTCCAGGGAAGTACTGTCATCTTACCTATTCCTGCCACTGAGCAGTATTGTGAGTATATCTGCGTTCCGGTTTTGAAGGTTAAGGGTGCTGGTGAAATAACAGGCACATGGGACTTGCTAATTTGTGTTTCAGGATGGTAGGCGTGTGAGTGGCAGTGCCGCTCAGATTTTTGCGATTTAAAGCTTTGAGTGGCACTGCAACTGTTATGGACAGGCATGTTTCTTCTGTCACTTGGTATCATAAAATAAGATAGAGTAAATTAGAATCATTTGTTTCATAGTAACGATATTACAATATTACTGTTTTGGATTTAAAAATAAAAGAAACAAAACAATTTCTTTAAAAGAAATTTATCATATTAGGTTGTTGTTATAAAGCGAATAGTTTTCTTGAACTAACATAATTTAACAGCAACGACACCTGAAGTATACTATTAAAAATTCTATGATTCTATAGTTATTTGACGACCTCCATGGCCGAGTGGCTTGCACGTCGATTTTTATGGTGTCGTTATCTTTAAAGTCCCGTGCTTGATCCCCGGTCGGGTTAATGTAGAATAACCATAGATAGAATACTAACATTTCTATATTGTCTCGAATCTGGGTATTTGTAGTACCGTCGTTATTTCCGATTTCCATAACACAAATGCTTTAGTTACTTACTTTGGAAACAGAGCAATACTATACTATATATATGCTGCCCTCAGAACGAAAAAGGCACACCTGCTGTATAAAGTATGCATAGTTGTTTTTCCGTTACGAGGGCAGTATGGTATCATGGTGTTTTGTATCGTCGGTGTTTAAAAATGGACGATGCGAAATATTTTTCAAAAGGGTGATTTTCTAATTTTTTCATGACTGTTTTAAAATATTTACGTCCTTTTTTAAATTAAATTTTAAAACTTAAACTTAATTGAAACCAAAATTGAATTTTAAAAGAGTACGACCAACCGACTGACACCGACGGTATACATAATGTTCAAATTTTAAATTGAAATATATTTATTCGTCAACATAGGTTACAGTAGATACATTAAAATACATGGTTATAAATAAATTTATGGTGACCCTCTATGCTGCGCCTTAAGGCGTACAAAGTAAATAAGTAAATGAGTGTAACGAACATAAGAATTATACAATTTATAAAGTTCGTAGCTAATATTAGTGTGTCTGACACCACTAATTATATTAATTACCACATCAATACACAAATAAATATAATAATCCTACAAACTAAAAATATTTTGATTAAAATAATAATTAAAAATGTCGTCTAATTAGCTTCTAGTACATAATATATGTATATGATTATAACGAAGAATCGCGACTTTTTACTCAAGTAGACACATTACAAAATAAAGAGGCGTGGCTCGGACGACGTCCACCTTCGATGCCTGCTGCACTAATGGACAAATGGCAATGCACATCAAATAGATTGCACCTTCCGATTGCCGCCATATTCACAATCCATTAAGAGATACGATTTTTTTTATGACTAGCATTTCAAGTTGAATTACTTTTGTGCATGTTGTCGTTTTCACATTGCTAGACTTGAATTCCAACCACTTGGCAGTATTTATAGTACTTAACGTAATATTTAAGGCATTTTTAAAGTAGAAAGCGACATCATTCAAGCTTGAGCCGACATTCGTTTATTTTTTGCTATTCGCTTAAATGAGAATATTTACAGCATATTCTCTATTTTCTCCTGTTCAACCGATGCAACCATAACAAATAGTGTTACTGGTCAGTCATTATGACGAGCTCCAATGTCGAGTGGCTTGCCCACCGGTTTTCTTGGTGTCACAATCTCTGAGGTCGGAAACTTTAATTTTTTTTATAATACCAATTGACAGGACGAACACATCGTGCACCTAATGATAAGCGACACGCCTATCCATAACAGTTGCAGTGCCATCCAGCGCTTTAAATCGTAAAGATCTTATGGGCACAGCTACTGCGCCCGTCACTCTACTCTAGACGTAAGTTGATACTTACTTTGCGATCAGACTAGGTATGTGATGTCTAATATTTATTTCTTTGGTCATACATATGTAACATAATGTTAACTTTAGAACTAAGTTAAAACACAATCAACTACCACGATTTCGTTTAACTAAAGTAAACGATCCGTTCATGAGGAACTGTATACGTTTTTACAATAAGTATTTTAATTGAATAGTCATATTACAAAATTGAAAACTAGGTGGTAGATAAAGACGTGTGGAAATTTATTGTACTATAGATTAGATTCCACACAAATTTGATTCAAAGTCCAGTATCCCATAGCATTTAAGTTTATTTGAAAAGAGCAATCCCTAGAGTTTCTTGCTCGTAAAAATTACGTTTTCAAATTTATAAATTTATTTTACTTATGGAATAAATTACTCTTTGACTTTGACTTCATCATCATCAAACTATAAACGTCCCGCAGTTGTGCTCTCGTTTCCAAGCAGTAGGTTTCAGGTCGACTTACCATCGAGGGCATAAGCAGTCCGCTGCGGCTGCATTCCCGGCGCGGTGCTCACCCCGACGCGGGACGTGTTGTGCAGCGACAATGCGCCTAGCAAATCTAGCTCGGTGGCTGGAACAATATAGACAATCTGCGTTAATTAACATTACAATAGTACAACGCGCATGGTTGAATATTACGCTAGAAATATTCTGACAAAGAAATTAAATGGGGATGGCTCAGCGAAATATTAACTAGAGGGTCCTGAGTCGGTTGAATGCAGACTCTTATTGGCGACGATAAGCTCGAATCTAAACTTCGCAGTTTAACCCACAGACGCAGAGTTGCCTGTCTGTTGGTTTTCTACAGAATATACTATCACGCGGGTCTCGCGTAATGGTAAATCCAAAACTGGGTCGCTCGGATGGACGAATTTCATTGTAGAAATAAAGAAAGAGTACAGGAAGGGAAAAGAACAGGTAAAGTAAAGGCGTAAAGGCTGTAACAAAACGTTATGATATAAAAACAGGTACAATCGTATAAAAACACTCCCTACTTAAACAGAGATTATGGTAAAAAGGAATTTACCCGAAAGGGCCAGTAATTTCTAGAAATAATATGCTTTATAAGCAGTTCGGTTGCATGATTTTTATTGGGAAATATTTAAGTGCATATCAAAAAACTTAAAACATACAGAATTATGTTCATTACTGATTGCACATCAATTTAACTTAACTCTAAACGCAATAACAATTCTTTTAACAAAATTACCGCAATTATTCTCATAAGTTGCTCCACAAATTATCTTCGTTTATACAATGAATCACGTACAACAAACAAAAATATTTATGATATAACGAATAACACAAATTGCATAACATTATTTAAAAAATGTCATCCAATTTACTGAATATAATCGGGACATTTTATTTCTTTCGCATACAACCTTGAGTCTGGTACAATAAGCCCGAATAAATAACAAGCTAGAACGCTGTGCAAATGAAACTGCCTTCGTTTTTTCAAAAACTATAAATGCAAACAGTCATGTTGTAGGGCTCGTGATCCGGCTCGTGTATGTGGTACCACCAGCAGACGCCAAAAATGTTCTAATCGGACAGAAAAGGTAACGTGGACGTCCTGCGAAAGCAAGACCCGCATTAATAATTCAATAAGTTTTCTATTATGTCCCACTGCTGGGCAAAAGTTAGTAAATGTTATTTTAATTTTTTTAAATTATTTTCTACTTCTTTTATTTTAAGCTTTGGAGCTGATTTTCTTGTAAGCAATTAATAACATTGGAACTAAATTGAACCTTTACTTGCAAATACAAAAAATACTACTATTTTCAAGCATTATACTTTATTGCAATGTTTGTGTGCAATTTTCATTTTTATTTGTTGATCTTATTGTTTTGGACAAATTGTACAATTAGACATATGTGTCAAATAAAATGGTGTTTCATTCCGATAGACTGATGTACCTTTTAGTGAAATAAGTATGTTTTTTTTCTCATAAATTTGTGTTCATAAATTTGTTGTATGCCAGAAATATTAGATATATATTTAGATGATTGATATGTATTGCGATAAAATGTTATGCATTAAGTTTAGTACATAATGCAAAATTTTCTTTTGATGTACATATTTTGACGTGCAATCAGTACTTTTGTTGGGGAAGTGGCATACATGGTTGTGAAAAAACTTGCTTTTTTGGTGAGCTGTTAAATGCTACCCATTTTCAATGGTACTACAAATACACACTTTACAAGCTGTTACATGATTTAACAGGTCAGAATTTTATGTTAAGTCGAGCACGTGTGCTCACTTCGGAAATTTAGTGGAGAGTGGCGATCACTGAGCATATAACCACTACGTTTTAGTGGCGATGGAAGGAAGAAAAGTAGAGAAGAAAAATGAATTTAAGAACGATTCAAAATTTTAAAGTAGATGGCCAGGAACCAGAGACAAGGTTGGTAAAAGGCGATGAAAGAGGTTGCAACGTCACAACACTTCGGTGAGTGTGCCCAAGAACTCCATCAGCTCATTCGGACTGCCCCCCTTTTATTATCCAGACGTACGGCGGGATATTATCCTTACTTAGTTGATATTCCCTTCTGGCGTACTAGCGTTTTTCGTCTTTTATTACGCGCTCAGCCCAGAAATGGAATGCCTTGCCTGCGACTACATTTCTGAGCACATAAAGCCTGAGCGTCTTTAAGGTGCGACTTATTTATTTGCTTCAGGGCTAGCAGGTAGTGGTCAAGAGTAAGTCCATTTACTTAAAAAGTAAATAAACTGTGTAGAAAGAGAAAATGTCAATATTTATTGTTTATTATACATAGAAATATCGGCGCATTCGACATCTGCCTAACAATTATCATAATACATACATACTTGGCAATATAAATTGTTTTAGACGTCAGTTATGAATTATCTGAACGATAATTTTCTAATCAGTATCAAATATCAGTTTCCCTATCGAGAACGTCGAGAACAAATAATCTAAAATCATATTCATATATTCCAAATTTATTACCTAAATAAAGCCCTTATTGGCCGCTATTTATTAATAATTAATGGCGTTAGAGAGCCCCTTCTTTAGGAATTTTCCTTATTGTTTCCCATAGCAAATGAGTATTTATGAGCTATAACGCAAGTGGCCTACATTCAGACACAATCGATATGAACTATGGAGTAGAGAATTCCGGAAAACTAAGATGATACCCAGATTCATTCATCGTTCTACCTGTAATGTCTACGTGGTCTAGTAATTTGTTAGTAGTAAAAATCTATTCTGAATTTATACTCATTATGAAAAGATGAACATTTTGGGATTTAAAATCATTTCCGAATATATCGATTTTTCAGTCAATATAATTCAATAATCAACTAGCCGCAAGCGACTTGTTTTGCATTTCAAAAATCGTCTTCACGGTGAGTTTCAACAACTAAAACATGAAATTGACTGACATAAAACGATGTTCTCTAAGAAATATAGCCCATAGGTGAAGGTTAGAAATCTTGGCGTAGCTACACACACGTAGCTTGTCGTAGACAGAATAATGTATCACAAGAAATGCGGTCACGTAGTCTACTACATCGTAGCGGCGTAGGCAACGAGGCTACGAAGATAAACGACATAGATAAACAATTTTCTGGGTTTCATTACTGGAAACGAAACATATATATTTAATATTATTGCAGCATTTGTGTAAGTATTTATACGGATGTAGTTATCAGTACTTATTTGTATTAATGGGTAAAATAATTTAGGCAAAATCAATTGTTTTGTGTTGTGTACTCGCCCGTGACACAAGCAGATATTTGGTAGCAGTAGAGCTCCTTATCAAAGAGTTCGTTCGTCCAGGAAAGTACTGGCTTACTTATGCATTCCGGTATTGAAGGATAATAGTGCTAGTGTAACTACAGGCACGTGGGACTTGTGGGAATGTCACAGGGAGAAGACCGCAGTGGCAGTGCCCCTCAGATCTTTGTGAGTTAAACATCTAAGTGCACTGCAACTGTTATGGACAGGCGTGTCGCTTACCTTTATCCTTTTCTCCAAGTGATGAAAATGATACCAAATGGTATAATCCCTTTCGCTTTAATCTAAGGATGATGGAAAGCGTCCGTCTTTAAAATGTACAAATAATATACTTCACTGGTTTTACCTAACCTATTTAATACACTTTATACAAACATAAGTGTGCAAGTACTGAAGAAACATCTAATTCTCTTATCATACGACAACAACTAGATAAAAAACCTAGCGTAAACTGGTTCTTGAGGATTGTGAATCTGATTATGTTGTGATATGGCATTCAAACTATACTACTTATGTTCAACCTATTCAAATAAAATAGCACAATCATTTAAAATTTGTATTATTCTGTTAATGATTTTTCTTTTTATTAACATAGCCACTAAGAAAACTGTAAATAATCAATTTATGGACCCCTTTGTCTGAATTAAAGTAAAATAAATAAATAAATAATATAAAACATGGGTTGGTTCCAAATACCTTAACTAGCAACTGGTAATTTTCTATAATAGTAAAACGGTCATCAAACTCACAACTTTAGGACGGCAATTAGATACATAACCTAGAATATCCCCATTGTATAGAGTCATTAACCAGCCTTCAACTGCACATAAAGATCTGTGGCGGCTTTAGACGCTGCCTATTATCACCGGCTGGCTGTGGCAGTCTCTTTGGACGAGAGTCGCCATGGAGAGTGTCACACTTGCCGTAAATGTTTGACAGTTTACAGTTACGTAAATTGTCATGTCAGCGATTGTAAATTGTTTGCCCGGTTTGATACATGGTTTTTTGTAAAAACCACGAAACTTTATAATTATATCGCCATTCATGAAGTTCACGAGGCTGTTTTATTGTTCGTTAGGGGAGCGACAAATTCCCCAAAGATCAAACGTCAGGCATTATATCAAAATCTTAATCGACATAGGTATCGAAAGATGAAGAATTTCCCTGAGGTCTTTTGGTGCAATCAATAATGAACCAAATGATTTCACATGGCAGTAATCACATTACTGTTTAACATATAATTATAATAAACACTAAATAAAAAGAGGCGCAGTTTAAAGTTGTGGAAATATGAAGGAAGGTATAGGAATGTAAAGGAGAATTTCAGAAAATTATTCTTAGCACAAACAGTGAAGCGAGCTTCAATTAGGAACTGGCTATGAGAACTCTCCGTTTTGAGTTTGTGTGAGCACAAATCAGTACCGCCCACCGCGTGCCTCTGACACAGAAAACTTTTAGGGTTGCTACATGAGAAGATAAATAGGTTCTTCCATTATATATTTTCTTATCAGACTTTACGAAATTAATAGAAAACCTTCATCTCTACAAAATTTTATCCAAAAAACTAATAGACTTTCTGGGAAACCCAAGGGCCGGTAGCTACCTTGCCCAACGCATTAGCACAGCAATACAAAGGGCCAACGATGCCAGCATCTTGGGCACCATGCCGCGGAGACCCAATTTCATTCATATAATTTAATCCTAGTCTTACTTTCTAGTATTTAAGCTTTTATTGTACTATAGTCTACGCTCTACTCTATGAGTAGAAGTACTGGCTGAATGAATATAGATTTGTGTTTAGAATGTAT